AAATAAAAAGAAATACCAACGTAATAAATGACAAAAAAATACACAAAACCTAAATAAAATATATTTCAATCTGATTTAAATAATAAGAAATATAACACCATAAAAAGCTCTTAAAGTCTTAACATATCTCCTCTTTACCTTTTTCGAAAATATCAATGATACGCCCATATAAAAATAATTATATACTAATTACAGTAAAGTATAAGATATCAGATATCAACTTTTATTTGTCACTTCATTAATGTCAGTGTCCCGTTTTACGTTATGTAGGTACATATAGACCACATTATGGTGGCAATGCAAATTAATCTTACGATCGTTTAGAAATCAACAGAAGAAAAAGCATACGTCATATTAACGTAGCACGTTGCCATTAAATGAAAAAAACATTAAATACTAAAAATATCGAGGAAATCTATAAAAAATAAATAGGTGGAAAATAAAATCATGTACTTAAAAAATATATAACAGCGAATTTATAACAGTACTAAAAAATTATTATGTTGTCAATGAAAAAACGAACGAGATAAAATTGAAACATGGCAAACAGGAAACAACCCAAAAGAATTATAAGATCAAAGAAAATAAATAACAATATATTATATAGGAAAACTATAAAAACAGATATAAGAGAGAGGACGCAGACTCTGATCAAATTTTCCTATTGCGAGAAATTCAAGCAGAACGCTACGAATATGAGAAACTGACGGTGACCCTACTTGAAGAGGGAAAAATGTATCCGTGAACATATATTTAAGTAAATGGTCAAGAAAGTAAAAATTTTAAATTCCATGATTGGTATTCCAGGTGCGATAAATATACTAACACCACTGTTGTGGACTCATACCAACCAAAAATTAAACTTAAAAAAGTTAACCAGTGGTTAATGTCACCAATGACCTTGTAGTGTTATCAAATGGCAAACAGGTGTTGATGGCGGTAATAAAGAGACTAGAAGAAAAAACTAAAACTAAAGCAATACACATATATAAAGAAATGGAAGGACTATAGAGATAGAATGAACAAACCAAGATTACCTAGAATAATGATAGATGTACGATCTATCACCTTTAACTCGATGTACGATCTTAACGAACTTTGGTTAATGTGGATTGAGTCTCTGGCGCAGACCAACCATTTTTGTGTTTTTAGTAGCACTCAGTAATTTTTTCGATATTGTTTAAATTTTTGCTGATTCTATTTCTACAAGGTAAGGTAACTTATTGTTTTTACAGCATGTTTTATTGGCGGTTAGCTTTATTATTATCTATACGTACAAGAATAAATATTTGGGATTGATAAGTAATTACAATTTATTTTTAATATGGCGTCCTGGGGCAGGTTGTTACTATTTTCAAGGGACAAGTTGTTACTGTAACAACCTGCCCAATCTCAAGAAATTCGTGTGTAGGTTTATTAGTAACTTGGATTTAGTTGTAATTAAAATTGTAAATTTTTAATAGATCAAAATGAGAACCAATAAGAAAAAAAATTAAGCGTGGCGAAACGTCACCGGAAATCATTATTGCTGCAGCAAAGAAGGTTATATAAAATGAAAGACCTCTTGACCAGTAGCGGATGAATATGGGAGTAATTTTATTACGCTTCAGAGATACGTCAGAAAGATCGAGAAAATTGAGCTTGATAGTGAGTGTAGTAAAATCGTAATTATTTTTCTAACACATGTATTGCACATACCTCGTTAAAATTTGGTTTTTTTTTTAGATGCTAAAACTATGCCCACAGGATATTTAAAAAATCGGAAGATCTTCTCTGGTCTATAAGAAAATGAATTAGCTTCTTATGTTACTGAATGTTTAAAGATATATCATGGTCTTTCCCCAAAAGATCTTAAACAGCTTGCTTTTCAGTTTACTTTAAAAAATAACGTAACTGTTCCTAAAAACTGGACCAAATGCAAGAGTTAAATCTGCTGACTTGCTAACAAATTTTTTAAAACGCCACTAAGTTATCCATCAGTACCCCTCAGGCTATGAGCTTAGGGCGAGCCACAATCTTTGATATGCACAATGTAACATTATTCTTTGACAAACTCTTTAATATATTAAATAGGCACAATCTTGGAGCAAACGATATTTACAACTTAGATGAAAACGGGGTAACTGTTCAAAAATCTGCAAAAATAATAGCATCAAAAGGTGTGAAGCAAATGGGGTCACTACAGGGGAACGAGGAACATTGGTGATAGTGTGTCTGTCAGTGAATACCAGTATAAACTCAGTGCTGCCAATGTTTATTTTTCAGCGTAAAAATTATCGAGAACATTTTTTTCCAGTGGACCACCAGAATGTATAGGAACGAGCAATTCTTCTGGATGGATAATAAGAGTGGAATTCTTAGTTTATGTGAAATATTTTTATAATAATATTAAATCTTCTAAAGAAAGTCCAGTATTATTAATACTAGACAATCACGATTTCCATTTGTCGGTTGGGGTAATAGATTATTGCACAAAAAATAGCATTGTTCTCTTGATCCTACCACCGCATTGCTCTTATCGATTATAACCTTTGGATAGATCGGTGTTTGGACCATTAAAAAAATGTATTAGCAGTCATATGGATGGCTGGATGAAAACTCATTTTGGAGTTACAATGACAATTTATATTATTCCATCAATTGTTGGAAATGCTTTGCCGTTAGCTGTTACTGTACTGTTTTGTACTCCAAAAAATATACAGTCCGGTTTTCGTATAACTTGCATTTCCCCGTTTAATAAGTACGTTTCTACTGATGAAGATTTTCTGCCATCATCCATTACAGACAGACCTGAGCCTCAAAGAAATATGGAGCTTCAGTCACACAAAATATACGAACATCACCAAGTACGCCACCACAAGTTATCAACAAGGAACCAGACCACGATCCACAACCTTCAACTTCTCGCGCTTTAGTTACAGAACTTATTAGTTCTAAAGATATTCGCGCTATACCTAAAGTTCAACCGAGAAAAAATACTGCACAAACCAGGAAACGAACGCATACGGCTATTTTAATAGACACGCCTGAAAAGCAAGAATTATTATAGCAAGAGCAACTGAGAAACTTAAAAACTAATAAAAAAAGAAAACAAAAGGTCAAAAGGACAATTGTTTCAATAGCGATAAAGAAAATGAAGAATGGTTTCTGCATTATATGTTGCGGTTCGTACACTTACTCAAAATCAAAAGAGAGATGGGTGCAATGTGTAGGTAGACTGTAAGGAGTGGGCGTATGAACTTTGTAGGACGGATCTCCAATTTTTGTACGCACACATTGATAACTAATTTAAATATTTTTTTAAAATATAGCACAATAGTTTCATTTTAATAAAAAATAAATAAATAAAGTTCGTTTAAAGTTTTTTCATTAAAAAAATCAAAATATTCTTTGAAAAGTATGAAAATTCTTTGCCCCTGCCATGTAACAACTTACCCAATTGGGGGGTAATTTTACACAAGTTTGATACAAATATATATTTTTTTCCTAAAAGTGGCAAGATTCTTGCAAATCTAATATTTAAAATAATTATATCGAAGTGAATGCTTCTTACACTAATATTTATAAGGTGCTTATTTTAAATATCGAATGCACAAAAAAAAATGTAAAAATTGTAACAACTAACCCAGGTCTACCCTATTATGAGTAGAACCAAAGCAATAGGCAAGTATACTGAACCTAAATCGCATGCTAAACAAATAGGTCTGTCAATTAACACAAAAAAGACCCAAATCCCAATAAAAGCCAATCGGAGAGAGCAATTCGGCACTATCAGACAGTTGACAGCTTAAAATAAGTAAATAGCTTTATCTATTTAAAAGTTAACATCACAAAGGACAATAGACGATGGAGAATTTAGCAGAAGAATCATCCTAACCGATTTGGCATACTTTGGTATGAACATATTTAAATTACGAGAGACACATCAAAGAACTAAGATACGAATCTACAAGACCATAGTCAGACCGATAGTGAGCTATCGAGAACTATCGATTCAATAATCTATAAACCGTATGGACATATTTAAAAGAAAGATACTGGGACAAAAATATTAGTGCCTATAAATAAAAACAACAGATGGCGAATCAGATACAGATATATATATATATATATATATATATATATATATATATATATATATATATATATATATATATATATATATATATATAATTTAAATGGCCAAATATATGGCCTAGGAGGACAAATTAAACTTCCCGTGCTCGAATCGGTATCAATAGAGCGGTATGACTCATTTCAGCATCCCTGCTTGATCAGACAGTCGGGCTGATACAAATTCAAACTCGGAAAGTCGAACGAATGTAGTTATGTCAAATAAAAAACTAACTTAATTGGCTTAAGTGTGGAGACGGATCCATGAAGCCATTGATCAACAGCGCTCCAAGAGCTAATTTGTTCTCTATATTTCGCTGATTTTTTCTCCTGATGTTTTATGATGTTTTGATGATGTTAATTTAGTTGTCTCCTGATGAAACTGACAAAAAATCAGATAAAAAAGAATTGAAGATTGAAAACGTTCTGCCAGAATTTTAAATGTTGACGACACTTTTAAAAAGTTTTTAAGTACTATGTTTTTATACCAAAATACACAATTGTGAAGTTTTTTAACTTATACAGCCAATTACGGGGTTTTTCCCATTAATTTTTTTTAGAAAAAAGAGTTTTTTTTTTAAATAACAGACCACATACCCGATACACCAATACAATTAATTGTTACATATATATATATATATATATATATATATATATATATATATATATATATATATATATATATATATATATACATCTATATATATATATATATATATATATATATATATATATATATATATATGTATAATTATAGCATAAAATTATAAATACCACCAAAAAATTTTAAAAACGTTTAAAATTCTAAAAAATATATTTATTTGGCTATTATTGTATTGTTTATGATTAAAAATTATAAAAATATAAAAAAAACATTATTAACTCACTTTGATTAGAACTCGTCTACACAATTGTCACAGTTTGTTTCGGACAATAACTAACTTGTAATCGAATACACCAACAAATATCTAATGAACTGGTCAAACGTCGCCCCTCTATTTAGGAAAACAAATTATTGTCACCGAGGAAAACTGCAAGTGCAACTGTTCTTTGTCGTTGTATTCGACTAACCTAATGCCTTTACTGTGTAACGGTGACTTACTTTCGTTTTTACCAAATTATTTAAAAGGAGGGGTTTTTCGTTAGAAGTGCATTTAAGCAAAACGGTATACACAGGTAAATTACATGTTCAGCGAAATTGGTTTACTATTTTACTGTTTGATTAATGTAATACGAACTTTGTTAACATGTAGTCATAATTGGGTTATTGTTTATTATCGTTAATTTTATTGAAAAATATTATGCTTGAAAGGTGACGCGCAATGTATTCGCGTGAAATAGATTACGTCTTTCTGTGTAAGCCTTGATGTTTAGTTTTGTAAAATGGATTATTTTTATTTTAGTCTATCGAAAAATTATATTTAGGGTTGCATTTTTCAGAGGAAGCAATTTTATTTCGTCATCTTAGAAAAAAATTTTGCAAAAATTTTATCAGATATTATTTGTGGCAAATTAAATTGTCTACAACGTTATTTCTATTACTTTTTATCTTAAAATCAAAAATAAAAAAAAATGTAAAAAAAATAACTGATAATGTTTGAACAAATTTTCTTTTGGATGTTTTAACTTTTTTTCTGGTCATTTTACAATAAAATACCATCAGAGTAATTTACAGAAACGCACACAATTCTATATAGCGGAAAGGATAACGGAAGCAAAGAATGTGGAGTTGCATTTGTGATGGATAATGATTTTTAAGTCAAATATCATATATTTCCAGGCAGTCAGTTAAAGGATATGCAAATTAAAAATTTGCACCCACTTTTTTAACCTAGCAATGATAAATAATCACTGCTCAATAGCAGAATAAGAACTACATACAAAGGAAAGCTTCTAAAAACAGCTGGAAATAGTATATGACAATGCGTCCAAAAATGATATTAAGATTATAATGGGTGATATGAATGCTTAGATAGGCAAGGAGCCGCAGTTCTATGGCACAACAATAAAATACCTACTGCACAATGAAACAAGCGAGAATGGGGAACTAGATGGGACCACAACCAATCAAATCAATCATGTGCTGATAGACAAAAGCCAGTAGTATATCAAATGTAAGAAAACGACGAGGAGCATGCTGTGGATCAGACCGTATTTTACTCTAAACCAAATTTAGATGCAGAGTTAACAAAGAAAGAAACGAAAGACAACAAAGAACAAACAAACAACATCTGGAAAAACTAAAGATTAAGGAATGAAAAGAGAAGTTCGAAAAAAAAGTCGCAAATGAGTTAAGGACCCTAGAACTCTACTCCATAGAGGGCAGTTGGAATAATATTAAAACTGCCGTACTGACAGCGGCTGTCCGGAAAACAAGAAAAAGACGAGAAGGGGAGCATGGTTCGATGACGAGTGCAGACAAGCAATAGAGAAAAGAAATCAAGTACACAAAATGTATATAACATGAAGAACACGGGAAAAACGAACATCATTTGAAGTCGCAAAACGGAAAGCAAAGAATATATGTAGAAATAAAAAAGAGTCTATGAAAATGGACAAATAAAAAAATTAAAGAGAATTTCAAAAACAACGAAAATAGAGGGGCTTACGAATACATAAAAGGATACAAAGTGAGTATAAATCTCAAACAAGTCTGTGTAAAGATGAAAGTGTTCAAATAATCAGTGACCAACAGAAAGTCACAGAAACTTGGTACTTTTTACACAAGTAGACAAGGAAGATAAAATGGGTACAAACTATGTAGAAGAGAATGAAGTAGAGAATGAAGTAGAAAGTGAAGTAGGGAATAAAGTAGACAATGAAGTAGGGAATGAAGTAGAATCTCCAACCATAGAGGAAGTTCTCAAAGCTATTAAGGCCCAGAAAAATAATAAATCCCTAGGAGTTGACGAAATACCAGAATTGTATAAGGTAGGTGGCAACAATCTAGCAAATCACATCCAGCAGCTCATCAAAGACATACGACAAGAAAATAAAATACTTGACAACTGGAAGAAAAGTACAGTACGCCTGATCTATAAAAAAGGAGACAAACTCCAGTACAAAAAGTACAGTGGAATTTCTCTACTATGTAAAGCATATAAAGGCGTATATTATAAACCAGTGGCTCCAACCACTAGCAGAAAATATTATTGGATAGTCTCAGACGGGCTTTCAATGGGGAAGATCGACACTGGATCAAATTTTTACAGATCTTGAGTAAATCATCAGTCATCAGGGCAAAAGATCAGTAGGAAGATGCCAGAAATTATGGCTGAAAGACTTGAGGAGATGGTTCGACCGCTTATCCGCAGAAATCTTTTGCGCAGCAGTTTTCAAAACCACAATTGGCATTTGGATTGCCAACCTTCGAAAGGAGATGACGCCATGAGAAGAAAAAGAGTAAATGGGAATCAATGTCATGGGAACATGACATTGATGTTCACAACGTGTTTGTAGATTTCAAACAGACATACGACTCAGTAAAAAGGTAAAAACTCTACAATATATTGGTTTAATTGGCAGTACCACACAAGCTAATTACACTCATTAAAGCCATAATGGATGAAACTCAGGTATGTGTACGAATACAAAACCACCGACTTTTTCAAAATTTCGCAGGGATTAAAACAGGGAGATGGACTGGCCCCAACTTTGTTTAACCTAGCACTGGAGTATGCGGTTAAGCAAATGCAAATTGAAACCTACTGACCAACCGAACAGCTTTTTCCGATGATATTAATATTATGACTAGAACATCAACAGGAGCACAGGAAACATATGCAGAGTTAAAAATGCAAACACAAATGCTAGGTCTGGAAATTAACACAGAAAAAAAAACAAAAATAATGATACAGACGAGAAGAAATAAAGTCCCACAAAACATTACACATGGAGATGGCAATAAAATGGTTGGAGAAAGAGGGAAGAGAATAACGCAAACAAACAAAGCTTATTTTGCTCTCTCTCATATATGTCGGTCTAAAAATGTCTACCGAAATACAAAGATGAGAATCTATAAAACCTTAATTCGACCAATAGCATGTTATGGCAGTGAAGCATGGGTCCTGAAAGAAACATCCAAAAGCAATCTCAAAGCATTCAAAAGAAAAGTACTGAGCTGAATACTAGGATCTGTGAGGGAAAATGGAATCTTTAGAAGTCGATACAACAACGAGCTTTATCAACTTTATAAGGGAGCACCACTGTCAGACCTCATTAGAATACAAAGATTGCAATGGACCGTACATGTGATAAGAATGAGAAAGAATAGACTATCAAAAGGAGCACTGAATGCTGGAGTGCAGGGAAAGAGATTGGTTGGAAAGCCAAAAAAGTGCTGGAAAACACAGTAAACAGCGAGGCACGAGCCCTTTTATGAGTCCGTGTATGGAGAAGATCAGCCATAGACAAGCAAGGGTGGAGGCAAAAAATAAAGGAGGTCCAGGCTCAATTTGGGCTGTGGTGCCGTAGAAAAACAAGAATTTATAGAGGGGTTTTCAACAAATAATTTTAAATTACAAATTTGTTTAGTTTTATTCATTTATCTGGGTCTTACAGCTCTCCAAAGTTCGGAGGATTCTTAAAATACTCGTAAGAATACAATAAAAACAAACCATTAGACTTAGTTTTATATTATATTTTGTTTATTCTTATAATTTATCATTTTCCCAACATTTCTATGTTAATATTTATTTATTATCGTCTCTTTTTCCCAGTGGCGCACCCAGGGTGGTTTTGGGGGTTAAAACCAGGACATATAACTCTTTGAGGATTAAAATTGTTCATGCAAAAAATGCCCTAGTGGAGCCAAAATACAAATTGATAAAGAAAACACATCAATGGGTTAATTATCTGCTATTGATAAAGAATCCGATGTTTTTTGCAACTAAATTTTTATTTTTTTAGTTATGGGGTGGTACAAATTTTTTTACCACCGTACCAGTTCGTACAAGTTTGCAGACATATAACATATAATAATGTAATATAAAAAAGTGAACTTACAGTTTATTGTTGTATTTCTAAAAGCATAATTTGCTAATGGAACTTTACAAACAGAACAAATCCATTCACTCCTAATTTGTTTGGCTTTGGTGCTGCACAAAGCACATCTTCTTCTTGAGCTTCGCTGTGGATGATGTTCTGAAGAATGTAGTCGCACCTCAATGGGAACAAATGGATTTGCTTTTTTTATTTGTATTGTGTCTAATGGCGTTCCATTAGATAGCCTCTTTTTAGAAACAATTTGGTCTGCCAATAATCCATTAATAACAGCACGGCGAAAATCTTTTGATGTTACTATAGGCAAGTTCATCAACTTGTAAAGGTAATATGCATTTACAACCGCAGCATCTAATAAATAAAAAAATATTCGATGCCACCATTTTTTACTTCGACGATAAATTTTGAGACCAGAGAGGCCTTGTTTTCACTACAAGTAAACCATAATAAAATGTTAAATTCCTTGCAGAGCATCAACTTGGATAGTAAGGATTTCCGATTAATTAAGAAGTTATATTGTAGGCAGAGTGCCAAGATTGGGATCGACGATCATACATCTAGAAATATTAGTATAAATAAACGAGTAAGGCAAGGATGCATACTATCCCCTATGCTGTTCAATCTTTACTCGGAACTACTATTCAAGCAAGCCTTGGAAAACCTTTCCACAGGAATAAAAATTAATGGAGAACCAATATCTAGCATAAGATATGCAGATGACACTGTCCTACTGGCTGATACAGACACAAACTTACAGGGGGTTATAGACCACCTTAAGGATGCTTGTCGAGAGTTTGGAATGAAGATCAACGAAAAAAAAAACAAAAGTAATGGTGATCCAAAGAAAACAGAATATCCCCTTACCTATAAAAATAAATGGGAATATCTTAGAACAGGTAAACTAATACAAATACCTTGGCTGTTGGATTAATTGCAAGCTGGACCCAGAACAAGAAATTAAAGCGAGAATTGCTCAAGCTAGGGATAGTTTCTTTAAGATGCGCGTTCTATTCTGCGATACACATATAAATATGAAATTGAGATTAAAACTTGTAAAATGTTTTATCTGGTCTGTTCT